TACTCTTGAAAACTTGTATATGTTATAGTTTAAAAGAGTGGTAATTAGTTTAAAAGAGTGGTAATAGTGCAAACATCTCAATATCAATTGCATTAAAAATGAATTTTTCTGCATGAAACTGTGTATTTTAATAATGAAATGGAGATCTTTTAAAAGGTTAAAACCTGATTTGATTTTATGTCTTATAGGGTTTATACTGAGTAAAATATTGAATAACTGTAACAATTCAACTGTAAACCTAAAAATTTACAGTGAATTTTGAAAAAGATGCATCTTAGCTCAGAAAATTGTTACTGAATATGTCAATGCTGTTGTAATGAAATGTTTCTTCTAAGTATGTGGTTATTAAATAAATAATATACTGAAAAATAAATTAAGAAATAAAAAAATTATCTCATCTATTAAAAAAAATAAACCAAACCAAAACAAAAGGTGTACACTCTGAACCCTATGATGGTCTTTTCCCTCATTCCTTGGGTTGGCCCTTGATGGGCCCAATTGAGGTGGAGAGTGAGGTAAAGAAGACAGTATGCAAACTGGCAAAGAGAAAGGCTGGAATATGCCCCAGCCCTCTGCAAGGCCAACTAAATCAGGTGTTTGTTTCAGCACAGACTCATTCCAGAGTGTGTGATATGACTTATGGTTCATTATAATACTAAAATTTGTACTCTCGGGTAGAGAATTAAGAGTCTAATGAGATATGAGATGCATGATGGTGCGTACAGATCTGCATGTAGTAGAGCATTTATGAGAAAGCTTGTGCTACACAGAGGAGCCAAAAAGACTATCTGATGTGACATCAACGTCCCAATCCTTCGTGCGGTGTTGCCTTTTAAACTGCTCAACTTTTTCTTTCTTGTGCCTCACTTCCTCCCTTGGAACTGTATCTTTTCCTAATAAAGTTTCCTTGCTTCTTTTATAATTGAACGTCTTTGTTCCATCCTTTTCTCAGGGACAGAAAAACCTAGATGCCCTCCAGGTGTGTTTGCTGAAACCTGAATTCACCGTATGTCAGAGGGACGACTCTCTGGTGTGCAATTGCCAAAAAGGAGCAGAGCCAGTGGGACCGATCGTATTTGCCGAACAAAATGTGAGGGGGTTGGTCTAAGAGTGACAGGATGTTAGAGCAGTTAGCAGGGGCTAGCCAAGAGATGGCACATGCCTTGCTTGGTCATGCAGCACTCTAGTTTCAATACTTACTTACATAGCAAGTGGCTTGGGAAGGAACCTAGGTACACTCAGTATATAAGCCTGACAAATCTGAGGGAGCGTTCTAGGGAAGTAAATATTGTGACTTAAAATGCTATGTGTCACTACATATAGGGACCTTAGAGGGGAACATGGGGAACTGGAAAAGTTGCTCTAAATTTTTTTTTGTGGTGCTTAGGAATGAACGTCATGCTTGTTTAACTAGCTTTTAAACATTTCTGTTAATCACAGAAGTCCCCCACACCAGAGAAGACCCTGTACTCACCTATGTATCTCAGGAGGTTCCCTCTGGATTTTGGAGCTTGCCTCCGCCACCTCTTTTGCCACTTTACCACTATAAGATACATAAATATAATGAATATGAGCAGATACTCCAAGGAGATGGGGAAAGGCATGCACATGTGGCTGAGCCAGCTCTAAGAGCCCCCCTTCTTCCATTAGGAAAAGTTGTGTGGCGGTTTAGGGTGCCCTGTGAAGAGAGTAACTCAGTGCAATGGAAATGGAACATTAACACAGGGTCACAGCACAACATTAGAAACAAAATATTTAAATGTAAATGGATGCCCCGCCCCAACCTCATCAAAGTAATGGATCTATTACCCACCTATATCGAAATCTACTTCCTTTAAAAAATATCTTGCTGCTTGACACAGTCTTGATCTGACTGGACTTTGCATACCTTTAAGGAAAATCACAGCAGAAGTAGTGACACTGAAAAACTCAAGCAAAACATGCAGTAGAGCTGTGGCAATTGATTACATTGACTGGAATAAAGCAATTCATTTTAAATGCTGACTTAGCATGTGCATGCATGATCTGAAGGGGTTTCCAAAAGAACAGAAACTTCATATGCATTGAAATTTGATGTGGTCACTGATATTGTTCAATGCTATCTCCTTTCATTCTTTGTGAGCATTCACCGTAAATTACATATTTGGTTTTATAATCCTTGGTCATGGCCTACAAACAGTTCTATGCAATATTGATGAATACAAGAAACCTCTTCTTGTTTTATATTCAAGAGATACAACGACATAAATTTCTAGTACGGCATGATGAATTTAATTAATCTGGAGACACTTTGTCAGTTACGTCTGTGTAAATATTGCAACAGAAAACAGCTTTCTGGCCAGAGAGATCATTCATTGTGTTATAAGGAACTCACTGTGTGCTGCCCAAGCCAGGGAAGTGGGTCTATGTCACCACAACATGGTCACTGGCTTCTATGTCACTATGATTCAGTACTCTTTAAGAGATAGATGACCAGAACACATAAGAAACAAGAAGCAGAGCCAAACACTGTAGATCCAGCACCTCTGTGCATACTCATAAACAAACAATGCAACACTTTGAAACTTGTCAAGAACATGGGCTGTCTCACAGTAGAGCACACCCTAAATTACTATGACAGCTGAGGACAGGATATACTTTAGACACAGGATTTGGAGCAATGGAGCTGGAACTGACCTGGACGTGACCTACCCTGAAGGCTAGCTCTCATAGCTTTGGAGAGCACTTGCGAGCTGGTAAGGGACAACACCAATTGATGGTCCAGCCCCAGTTACAAGGCCTAAAAACCACATAAATGACCAGTACAGCAAATGACACTGGTGCAGCAGTGGCATTTTTATCTTGGGACCCACTGTCCATCCTCCACTTTGCCCCACCATTAGCCTACCATCAGTGGAATGTGGAACTGTGGCTCACGGTGGTAGGAGAGTAAAGTTGCAAAATCCTATGAGGAGACCACAACTCTGGCTCATGGGAGGGGGTCCACACTCCAGGTTTGTGGGAGGAAGCCACAGTTCAGCTCACAGGAGGGGACCATTGCTCCAACTTTCAAGGTGAAACCATAGATCCTGCTCAGGGCTCAGGGAGATCCTTCCTAAATTCATCCAGTAACTAGATTCTCTGGTCTTAGGAATAAAATGCTGTTTTCATTATGGCAGACTCCCAGCAGGGATCAACCATGAGCTCTGAAATAAGATGGGACAAACTCAGGGTACAGAGACACTGGAGAGGAGCTCCAGAGTCCAGTGGCACTGAATGGGGTTTTCTCTGCCCTTCTCATGCAGCCATGGACCCTGGAGAAACCATCAACATTATTTCAGAATCAATACAACTTGGATCACACCTTGACAACCAATTGGAGAGGGTCACTGCTGTTGAGATTTCAGGAGCCCCTTTGCCATTTATTCTTTTCATTCTCTCAACCTCATCTAGATGGGCAGGAGTTTTGAATTAAGCACATTCTTTCAACATGGAAATGCCCTTCAAGTAGTGTAGTCATGCACTGTGAATCATGTAAAAAGATATACTAATGTTGCCCCAAAGCCAGAGAAGCAAGATAGACTATTTTTCTCTGCTGATGACCAGTCCCACTGGAATGCTGTAATATCTGTGCTCAAATGATGATCAGCCCAGGGTCTACAGGTAATACAATATTGTTCAGTTGAGCTCATACACAAATCAGAGCTGGTTTCTCAGACCCCAGAAAGTAGCTACAGTGAAACCTTCCAATACTGGACATGGTCATGTCTACACAGCTGAAGAAGTGACCTTTATTATACATTAGTAGAGAATATGATTGCTGTCTTTGTACACTAATCAATTTAAGTGATTACAAACCACACCTATTCAAGGAGAAACACTGGTACTTACAAAATCACAAAGTAGAATAGAAAGCTCTAGGTAGTAGTCTTTTTATTGCCCCAGCAGGACTTTTGGCAAAAGAAAGAGAAAACTTAAAGTGATTAATATATCTTTGACAGTACTGCCAGCAGTATGGAGTGGAAGCCTTGCTATACAGGGAGGAAGGAATGCAGAATGCTGACCGCAGAGCGTCACATAGTAGACCTGTGACGAAGTGGTTAGCCATTGTGGATGACGGTCCTTACTCCATTTATTCCCTTTTAATGGCCAAATACTGTGTTAGCCAGAAAGATTAGACTTCTGCTGATGACCTGGTCTTTCTTTGCTCTGGTCTAACACTCTGAACTATAAGTATAGGACCCAGACTTTAGTTATGTTTATCATAGTACAAATCAGTTACTCAGCCCAAGCAGGTATCTGTGTCCAAGGATCTGGAAGCCAGCCTCATCAAGTGCTTTAGCCTACTGAGAGTTTATCACCTGAGTTGGCTGGAGATTAATGCAGATGCTAGGGATCTTGAAACTGAGAAAATCTGTCACCATTCCCTAAAAATGAACTGACTTTGGCAAATGGGAAAACGTCCTTATCATTTTACAGCTGTTAAACATTCTGAAAATATATAAAGAGCTCCAACTCTAACTGGCATATTCAAGGATTTCATCAATAGCCAGCTCAGGGCAGAGGGTGGGGGAAAGCCTTCTTACCAAATGCAACTTGCTTTCCTCTGCTCTTCTGTCTTCTTTCCTACCTGCCTTTGCCTGCTTCTACCTCTAGTTCCCCATCAAAATCCTGACCTTGAAGCATCACTGTACTCAAATGTCTCATCTTAACAGGGAAGTTCACATGGTCTCTGTGACAGCACACCTCCCTCACCTCAACCTTACTTTCTACTGTGGTACCGTCTACTCCAACTGCTGGAGATGTAGGTCACATTGGGTATTAGATATTGGGTGCTGCAAAGAATACAAAATACATTTTCACTTTGTAGACCAGGCTGGCCTCAAACTCATGGAGGTCCACCTGCCTTTTTTTTTTCCCAGTACTGGGATTAAGGTTATGCATCACTACACCCAGCTCCAGACGATATTTAATATACTAATACAACTCTCTCTTAGAAGGAAACAGCAGACATTTTGTGCATAGGGCAATCAAAGCACTGAGGGATTAAGTAAATTAACTGCAGACATATGATAGAAGAAGCCAAAGAAAGGGTTACAAATTGATTTGTCTTATCTCATAATTTAAAATTTCATGCTTAAAGCCAGGCATGGTAGTGCACACTTGTCAATATAATAGTACCAGCACTTGGGAGGTAGAAAAAAGAGGATAACAAGTATGAAGTCAGTCTAGGTCACACAGTGAAATCTTTAAAAAAAATCACTTTTAGAATCACTTTTACAGGCTTTGAATCTGTAATGGGAATCAGAATCACCTAGGAGGCTTGTAAAACAAACGTTTACAATTCCATAAGTCAGGGTAGAGTCTAGATTCTCCCTGAGTTTGTATTTCCAAAAAATTCCACAGAGTGTGAGAATGGTTGGCTCAGGGACGCTACTTGGGGAATCACTGGATTAGAACAAAGTGTTTTCAGCTCATAGAGGTACATTACCACTACCTGAGAAGCTGTTAGTGTCACAAGCACTTAGAGCTTTCATCTCAATAAAATTTAAGATAACTACACTGAGATATTATCTACATGATCAAAACTTCACTCTTTTAGAGCTCACATTTGTTGGTTTTTAGTATAATTCAGGAAGTTAATAGTGAAATTGTATTTTGTACTGTTTTCAGCACCACCCAATCACCCGATATCTAGTACCCAATGCTGCTATATAATATGAAAACCTTTTTTTTTTGTCTTTTTTTGAAACAGGGTCTTCCTGTAGCCCCAGCTGTCCTGGAACCCACTATGTGGACCACACTGCCTTGAACTCGCAGAGATCTGCCTGCCTGTGCCTCCCAAGTACTGGGACTACAGGCGTGCGCCACCACACCTGGCTAAAACATTTTTTATCCTTCCCAAAAGAAATTCCCTGTGCCCACTACCAGCAGTCACTCCTCTTTCTGCTCTGTTTTCATATTCTATACCCCCAGCCCTAGGCGACCAATCATTAACTCACTTTCTATTTACATATAGTTCCTTCTTCTGGACATGTCATATTAAGGCTAGCCTGAAAAATTTAATGAGACCTTGCCTTAAAACTCAAAAAGATCTGAGGATGTGGTTCAGTGGTTGGGCATGTCTAGCATGAGAGAGGCCCTGGATTCAATCTGTAGTACTATACAAAGGGAAAAAGAAAAGAAAGAAAAGAGAACTGTGGAGTCCTGTGTCCACTCAGGGCCTATTGAACCAGAAGCTGTATTTTAACAAGATCTCAATTAGTTAATATATTATTTAAAGTGAGGGGCGGCATTAGTATTGGGAGCTGGTCTTGGTTCTTTCTTATATTATTGCTCCTCTAACAAGCAAAATTCCAAACAAGAACATATTGGGGACTGTCTTTATCTTCTGCACACAGTTCCACACTAAATGGTAGGAGGGAGTATAATTTAGTACCTAAGAGAGTGCATAGTATAAAACATATGTGAGATAGACTTTTCAAATGAAGGAAAACACCAACCAGCGGGCCACTGACTCTTTAAGTATGTCCAGTGTGAGCTCAGAGAATGGGAGCTGGTGGCACCTGTACCAGACATGGCATCACACATGGCATAAAGGAAGCTCTTACAGGGTGACTGAACCAATACTGGGAATTCTCTGGGGTCTAGAGTAGGTGGGAAAATGAAGGCTTGTACTTCTAGATGCTGTTCCTAAGCAACAGAGTCAGGGCTCTCCAGCTAAATCCATGACTCTGGGGTCAGCTGACAATCACATTCATATTTATGTCAAAAACATCCTGGGAAGGTTCATAAGTGAGACAATGCTGTATCCCTGTTCCCACGGCAGGTAAAGTGAAGTAAAAGGGGAAATCTTCCACCCCATTACCCCCCTAGGCCACAGTCCAGGAAACAAAGCAAAGGCCTTGC